TATATATATATATATATATATATATATATATATATATATATATATATATATATATATATATATATATATATATATATATATGAAAAACAAAAGATTTTCTGGACGAATGAGCCCCTCATGGAAACTGACACATGGATTTTGTCTCATCGTGCAATTCTCTTGGCCGAAATTTGGATGGAAAAATTCTCTTCCAAATACCACTCGAGCTTCAAAATTAATCAGGTATTTCCCTCAATGAGTATCGAACGATATTTGTCAACACAATGTGTGGAAGAGGAACGTTTTAGGCACGAGTAAACAAGAAGGTACTTTTCGACACAAGGTGAACGTAGCAGCAGTGTCAAAATAGTATATTATGTTATCAGGCAATAAAAGTATTATCTGGCGAATGTGATTATAAAGCCACATTCGCCAGATAATGCTTTTATCGCCGTATGACATATGTGATTTTATGTCGTTGGGCCCGAAAACCGCGATCTAACCGAGCAAAGCGAGGTTAGAATCACGGTTTATCGGGCCTAATGACATAAAATATTATTCGATACATGTGAGACGGGAATTTTCAACTCGTGTGATCGGCAGTTCACACTCGTGAAAATTCCGCCTCACTCGTATCGAAATATACTAGTTTAACGCGATTGTCTACAAGTCCCAGATATTTCCCGATACAATTTGATGAGCACTCAATATGTAGGTGAACAAGTGCAGTAGTTTGTTCTTATGTAAGTCAAGGGATATGCACTGATAACCAATGTTAATAAAATAGTAATTTGATATAGCATGTTAAGTATTTCATGTTATTTGTACTTCAGAAAAAACCTGAAAATATTGTGTTTTCCCTCATAAAAACCCTGTTTATTCTCCAAACATCATTACAATCCTCGAACCTCTCCAAGATTAGCAATTCCAAACAATCTCGAACCGCTCTACCAGTACCTATACGACGGACATTCTTCACTATCTAAACCATTCGAAAAACCACAGATTTGTGATTCCATACGTAAATAAAACTAACCTGCATCTGCAGCCATGAATAATCGATGTAAGTAGTGGTGTTTGCGGTGATTCCAGCATTAACACCGGTAGAATTTGACTGCCATGCATCTTGTCCAGGATTAACCAGTCCAAGACCGTCGGGTTGCCCCCGATCAGGTACTATTTGATCGGCATACTGATACGTATTCTGTACACTCTGTTGTACGGGTAACGTTATGCCAACTGAATGATGATTGTGATGATGATGGTGATGATGATGTCCAGTGGGAGGGTGCTGGACCCCCGAGCCGGCGGTGGGCTGCAAGCAGCACACGCTGACATCCATCCGGGGGGGCGGCGAGTCGTAAAATCCTCGCTGTTCTGGATCTGGTGAATCCCAGATTGACGTGAGGTACGTAGTCTCAAGTGGAACCATTCAATCTTCAGCAAGGTAAAATTGCTGCTTATATCTTTCCCGCCAAAAAAATTACACTAGTTGTGTCAGCGTACACAGGATTGGTGGTTATCTAGAGAGAAGCGACACTGAGACGTATAACATTGTTTTTCGGTAATCTTCATTGCTGAGTGTTATAGCGATATCAATGTAAACTGAATTGGCATGTCGCAATAGTCAGCGGAGACACAGCTGAATTGGGTTTAAAAATCTAGAGATTGACACTCGTAAAATATCTCAACAAACAAAACACTTAGCACAAATGTTCAAACTTTCCTCACTCTATGACAAAGACATCAAATATTGCAACGATCAAGTTTCTTTTATCAATCACTGGTGGTTATTGATTTATCCGTAATGTTTCATAATGTAACATATATTCGCAGTAGTTTCAGCTAATAATTTGGGAAAATCATTGCAATGATCTAACCAAGAGTTTTCCTTGTTTATACTTTTTTCCTCAATCGATTTTAATGATCAATAGCGCATGCGTAGGGCCTCGAACTTATTAGGTGATACGCGCGTGTGTGTCGTCAAGGCAACGGTTCAGCCGTAACTGAACGACTCAGTTTCACCGTAGTACCAAGGTACCCCCTCGCACAGTTTTGTACCTGGGTACCTTCTCCTCCAACATAACAACGTGTATCTCTCTCTCTCTCTGTCTCTCTTTCTCCCTCTCTCCCTGTCCCCTCTCTTTCTCACTCGTTTAACTTCACCTCAAACATGAGGTATAAAGGGGGATCTCTCTATAGCACGGCTCACGCCCCGGGCGTGAGTGATCCGCGCGCTCAGTCAGCCATCAAGCGTTTATATACATGGATAAAAAACGTCGATCCGTGTATTCATATTTTCTCGCTCCCTGCGAGGAAGGCATTTGCATCCTAGTCTTACTTCATTTGGTGCCTATGGTTCTTACTCTTTTTCTGAAAGCCTCTTTTTTCTCATTTTACGGAACCCCCTACATTAGAGGGGAAACGCAAGTGGGAGATCGCGACGATAGCTATGGACATTCCGCCAACGCTCACCTGACGTCATTCCAACCAATCTGCGTTTGTGCAGACGATGATGAGGGATTAGATTAAGCTCAATTATTTTATTAGAAATGTTTTTTATTTTATCCGTACATTTTTTATTCGCAAAAATTGTAATCTATTGAAAGTGAAACACGAACCGTTGTTATCATAAGAGGAAGGTTCTCTCCAAATTTCAAGTGGATATCTTAATTTTTACGAAAGCTAGAGAGCGTACAAGGATTTTATCAAAAAAACAGAAAAGTGAAAATATCTCGAAAACTTTGCAGGGACGGGTATATAGGTTTTCCTCAATCTAGATAGGAGGCATTGTAACGAACATTTTGAAAAAAAAAGAAATCGGTCCACTAATTTTGGAGATATTCGCGAAAAACAATTTAAAAACAAATCGCTTTTTCTCAGGAACTATTGGACCGATCGAGCTGATCTTGTGCACAGAATTAGTCCTAGTTGGGACCTATACTCAGACAAAATTTTTGATTTTTCGAAATTTTTTTAGTCAATTTATTACTCGATTTTCTAAAACTTGATTTCCTAAAAGTTGTGGCGGGGGGGAGGGACATACAGACATGGTCGTCAAACGTCGTATTTTTACGTTTTAGACCATTCTACATCATTTCCAATGAAAATTAAGAAATGTGAAAATCGAAGGATTGCAAACCTCCCATTCGGAAGCAAAAAGTTGGAAAATTGAATTCATTGAATTTTTGTTCCAACTGATTTATTGTGGTCACAAAGATCTCCATTTTACATTGAGTTTCCATTGTATGTTGGAATTATAAGAATGAAACCGAATAAAATGATCATCTTTATAAATGATTGATGATGATTCAACATTGTCAGTATCTGTAATGAATATGAAATTTTAATCATTAAAAGTATTTTATCAGCGTTGGAAATTTTCAATCATTAAAATTGCTCATCAATTCAATTATTTAATTTGTAAACTTTTAAAAATATTAGTGAAAGTAAAAGCATCCGTACCCAGATAAGACATAAGAAGGCTGATGATGGGGACGAGCTTGTGTAAGCCCTGGCTTGGCGGGGCTCAGTGGCGCATTTCTCAGACAGGTCTGTTCTCATTGTTTAATCCAGGGTCAAATGGGGGTGATTAACGCGGCCATTGGAGAGGGTGAATTTAGATCGACCATTAATTGATGATATTGAAAACATTATCATTGCTGCCGCAAACATAGTCATAAGTTTCCGCTCTATCATCTAAGCTTAGCCTTGAATCCGACCTGCGGCAACCCGTTGTGTACGAAGATGCATAATCATCATTATTATTTTTATTTATGATTAACCAATCAATGGATTTTCAATTCTTCCATTGATCGAGCTCAGCATTTATTGTATTTTTGATATTTTCTCGATTGGATAATTACAAGAGCACCACTTTATATTTTTACACCCGAACAAAAAACGTCTTGTAAAAAGTTTTAGGTGGTCTACACAACGCGCTTGACTATGAAACAGAAGGACCTCGGATTAAGTCCACCAGCAGGAAAAAAGAAAGTGTTATTTCATTGCATTTCAATTGAAGGTGTACAATAACAATTTAAAACGAGTAATTAGTTGAAAACAATGATGATCATAATTTTTTCACATCCATTGTTGATAAATTAACGATAAGAATGAGCGAATTATCGTGTTTATCGATTATGATTAACAATACTACTACATTTTTTTCGATACTTTTTGCCAATGCATAGAAAGGATTATAAAATCATCAGAAATGATGCAAATGCCTATAAATAATAGTATGATTTAAATGAATGAAGTGCAATTGAGCCTTAACAATTTTACAATTCAAAGTTCGCAGCTAGACTTGGCATCGGCTTTATTCGAGGCTTACAGATTAAGCCTCAATTCGGATTATCATTTTGGGACTGAATGAGGTCTGATTTAAAATTGGACTCTAGCCCTGATTGACCATATTGAAGCCTTGCTTCAGGGCTTGATGGAACCCTGTTACCATCGTCGATTTCTATCAAGGTATACCACATCTGAGGTGCAAAGATATTCCCTTTCTCTTTAGGATTGTGAAACCCCATACTTTGCTGGCGGTACATGAAATCGAAGCGGGAGAGAGCACCTATAGTTGAATTTACTATCTGTAATAGGTTACGCAGATTACGAACAAAAGTGCAAATAGTTCACATGACCTTAACCCAATGTTACGAGAGGGAAAATGATCCTCACGGTATATTTATTTAATTGCACCCATTTAACTGCAGATTTTAGAAGTGAGACTGAAAAAAATTGTAACAAGTTTCAAAAGCACCGCAGTAGTGCCTTCGTTAACCAGACCAGAAGAAACATTTAGATGCCGCTTATCAATAGTTAGGATATACAATATCAGTCTTCAACATCTATGACGCTGAACCTGAGTTGTACACGATTTGGGAATGTGAGAAAATATCCAATAAATGTTTATGTAATAGTTGAGTATTTCATTTTTAAGAGGAAATTATGAGTCATTTCATATGTTTTGTTTCATCAAGTAAACCATTTCATTAAAAATTATTCCAATGCCACGGTAAGATCTGTTTATTATAGTAAATAATTAATAATACTCCTTCGATATGAACAAATAGGACAGGATGAACGGGGAATTCAATTCGATGGCACCTATTATAGTGCTAATTATTATTGAAAAAATGCTATAACGTTTCAATAATTTGAAATACGCATATTTTGGTATGATTCCTCACATTTTTCATTATGACATGTTAAGAATGAAAAATCAATGATTCTCCACATTATTCTTGTGAATGGTATGTATTATTCGTGTGAGATGTATGTTTACAGAAATCAAGATTTACAACGTGTCAAGATATTTCTGTTACAATTGTCCGTTGAATAGCAATTGAAAGGTTAATACTCCTGTCTTTTTTTCTTCAATTGATAGAAACATGTCTATACCACCTCCGCAACAATTCTCGGCATGTACATCGAATCACCATGATTCATGTTACAGCTGAAATAATAATTGTCTTACGTTCCACTTACCTTTGAACTTCTCTTCCCCCCTCAACTGATCCCATCGATACCTTAAAGGGCTAACTAAGAGGAAAATAAAAGAGAAACTTTACGTCTTAATAAATCGACATTATTCCAGGAACTGACTTAACGGAGAGCGAATCGACTTAACCCCCCACGCCATTGCTTTCCTGTTCTGTTTTTCTGCAAAGGGGGTGGAACATTTCCCCCACCGAATATTGTGAAAATCCCCACGACGATAAGAAGTAGAGTGAAAAGGCAATGTTGCAACTACGTATTTTTTTTCTCCATAGAGCAGTAGTTTATACTCTTCATAGCCCCCTTCTGATTGCCACGGCCTTAGTACCATCCCTCTCACACTTTGTCGGACATCTCAGTTCCCGGAAGCAACGCAACTTATGAATGGAAGTTAAACACGATTGGCTGGGGGGCCCGGCCAATAAACGTACGGGCTGTCCCACGGCGCGCGCATACGCTGCGTGCGAGTGAGACAACGGACTACGGAATCAACTGTCATGTTTCACTTTTACATGTATGAATCTTTTCAGCGGAACAGAAGGGGTACAAAAGGTATGAGAATATTGACCACCTGACATTTGATTTTGTGGCAGAAAAAAAAGGTAGAAGGAAAAAACGAGCAAGGGGGCAAGCCTATCTGACAGGAGAGATGTGGCTGTTACTTTATTTTTAATCAGTTTTTTGTTTTCGAATGGAAGTCTTGTATTTGACCGATTTTTCAATTTTCTAATTTTGATTGTAAATGGTCCAGAATGTTATGAAAAGTGAAGAAATGATGTTTTTAGAGTCATATCTGTGTATATGTATGTGCCAACTTAGGTTTTCGGTGATTAATTTTTAGAAAATTCAACATAAATACGGTGAAAAATTGTAGATAAAAATTTGAAATTTTGGCTCATTGTAGCTATGATTGAGCTCAACTTTGGTCGCTGTTTCAGCCCGATCGATCCAGTAGTTCACTGTTAGAAATCCATGAGAGCGAATTACTACACATGTGTAGGAAGTCATGTACACAATACTGTATTGGAAATTTCCAATGTCGTTGAGGAACTTCCATACACGTGTGGACAAACCATTCTCATCATATTGTATTGTAAATTTATTGTACCCTCAAGAGGTATACGTGTTCCGAAAATTGGTACACTGGTATTGTTATTGTTATGGAGAAAAAGCTTGTAAAACTTTCATATTCTTTCATAATAACGGTATAGCCCACCGATGTAAAATTCTTGGCAGTGAGTGATAATTTTTATCTTCCACTATCATGAAATCAGAGTTCAAAAGAGCAACAACTTTCTCACCTCCGTTTCATAATTTTAAACTACTATTGTACTTTTTTCTCATGCGCAAAAGTAAAATCAACTCATCATAATGTTATACGGCACGGGTGCAATAATTTCCACATCTGTGTTCTATAAATTTAAACCGCTATTACACTCTCCGAAAATTAGTACACTGGTATTATAATTGTTACG